GACATGAGCAGCCTGTGCCAGCCATGGGCAGCCTGTGCCAGTGCTCTGCCACTCTCAGTGTAAAGTTCTTCTTCATGTTGAGGTGAAACTTCTTGTGTTTCAGTTTATGGCCATTGCTCCTTGTCCTGTCACTGGACACTACTGAAAAAGAGTCTGGCACCACCCTCTTAGCACCCACCTTTGAGACATTTATATGCATAAATTAAATCCCCTCTCAGCCTTCTCTCTTCAGCTCAGCCCAGTGCCCACGCGTGTTGTTACTCCTGCCAGGACAGTGACTGCTGCACCACCTGACATAGGGAGTGTGCACCTACTGAAAGATCAGATCACCCTTTTTGGTGGAAAACTTAAAGCAGCTATGTGTTGAGTGGGCTTTTTCTTTGAAGTGACAGAACACAACAACCCTGGCAGACCAAACAAGTCAGATGGAGGAAATTACATAGCTCCCTATTGACTTTTTTTTTTTTTCCTGTTGAAACAGCTTTAAAAAAAAACTGTACTGGAGTAAAAGGAACTGCGTTAAAACGCCACAAAGTGGCAGCAACACCAACCTTTCTGACAGAGCCAAGAAAGAATTACAACTAGAAGTTTCATCTCCTGGCTGGGTGAGCTTTATTTGCTGCCAGTTCAAGTTGAGAGAACATGCAAAGCTTTCAAAAACAAGTACAGATGTGGTAAAAGTGGACAGCAAAAAGTTTAACTGGAGCATCTGGAACAGATACTTGGGTTTGCAAAACTGCACTGCAGTGATGCCGAATATAGTTTTAAAAACAGTTTCAGCCTAAATGAAGATAAAAGGCCCCATTTAACTGTGGAGCAGTCTGGAGTTAAAAATTTTCCAGGCATTTGTTCTAATTAAGCTTGAATGGGTTAATTGGCTGCATTTGTATCGCCTGTTGAAAACTTGTCTGTAAAATGAATCTCAGTGTTATTCTCGTGGGAGCTGTGGTCCCGTCATACGGGATCAGCTGAGCATCCTGCAGCTGCCTCGACAGGCAGAGGGAACACACAGCCAGTAAGGTAAACACAGCTTCTGGTTCTCATGGTGGTTCAGGGCACTTGTGTCCGGCTGGTGCTGTGAAACTGAGCAGTCAGTGTTGCGTTCTGAGCACTTGATTTTATCTCTAACAAACCTTTGTTCACTCAGGCCTGACCCCATTCCTCAGTGATTGCCATTTGTAGATATTTTTGCCTGCTGATGTAAATTTCTCATGCAGTTTGTTTCCAGCTCCTACAAGAGATGGAATGACTCCAGAAATCCAAATGTTGTTGCAAGTGGAGGTAAGATACAGAACTGGCGTCCTGCAGCCTTGATGCACAAAGGCATCCCAGATTTTAGGTGAGCGCAGACAAAAGTTCAGGGATGCAAAACAATCTCTTAAAATCTCATGGTGCTTCAATAGCCTTAGAGCTGCTGAACTGTTTCTAACACTGTGGCTTGCACTGGAATGCAGTGGGTGAAGCGCAGAGAAACAGGCTGTTCACTCAAGTGCTGGTTTCAGCACCTGCTGCCAGTTCTGTGGGCAGCAGTTGTGCTTTCATTTAATTACCTTCCCACTGGCTCTAAAAGAAAGGAGTGTCTTACCAGATCACAAGCAAGAGGGAAGTTCCTTGGTTTTGACGGACAAACTGCTTCTGACGTGTTCAGTCTGCCCTCCATGTGCAGCATGTTAACCATGCAAGGGTTAACAACACTGGCACTGCCATAACTGCCCCCTAATCCCACCGCATCTGAAGGAAGACCCTGGACACAGGCAGGGGATCCCTCCCGTGCCTGGCTGGAATCATTGCTGCCTCCTGCCTCCTGGCGTTTCTCCCATGCAGCATCCCGAGGCCGCCGCTTGATGTCTGTTTGGCTGTGCTGATAAACACAGGGTGTGAGCAAACCTTTCTGCCAGCGTGGGCTTGGTTACCCGCAAGGCTGCATCCCCCTCTGCAGGCAGGCGTTCCGATGGAAGCATTGTCTCAGCCGGTTTTCAAACAGGAGGGAAGTCAGCAGTCTTCCTGACTGGACTGAGTGCACGTAGGTATTTTGTTTACCTTTTAAAGTATGCAAATATCACGTGTTGCCTTCTAAGATACAGCCAAATATTTTAGCAGGATGTCGAATCCAAAGAGGTTTGCTGCCAACACAGCTTTATTATGAATGTGATGCGTATGAGGGTGCCTGTGGGGCCACAGGATGGCAAAGATGGGGAGGTGGCAGGTCCCAGAAGCTTGGGGTGGGTGGCAGCAGGGGGGGCTTGTAAGCAGTGGCTGCACCCAAGTGACTGGAGATCTGCAGCCAAGGGGGCTGGTCAAGAGTGGTCCAAAGTCGGGTCATGCTCCTCCCAAAAGTACATGATGTTGAAATCAGTGGGTCAGAAACTCCTGTGATTAACTCATGTGACCACACCTGATTCCTCCAAAATCAGTTATAAGTTGCATTTAAAGGATGTACTAATAGGCATCCTTGGGTTTACGGTTTTTATGGGAGAGGTCAATGCTTTCAGATGCAGGAAAGGGTCATTAACATAAGCAGAGACAATTCCACATTTGGGATCAGATGTGTATCATGCTTAGCTGCAATGATTTCCTGGCCCTGAACGTTCACAGACTTTGGTATTGCAAATGCAGGGGCTGCATGGACCAGGGAGGGTATTCCTTTCTCATCATTATCCCATTGCCAGTACTGGAAGAAGCTAAATGAGTCTGCCAGTGTTAAATCACAACAGCTTTATGTGCAGGTAGGTCATTACAGTTTGTCACCAAAGTAATCCTGCATTTTAATTTTTTTTTTAGACCTTCACATCATTGTCACATTTCCAGCAGCAGTGTTTCTAAAAACAGTTCCACACAAAATTTTTTTAGCTCTGGTGCCATCTAAGATTATTAAGGTGGACACCACTGTACTGGCAACAGGGTCATTCCTTGTAAACCTGCTTTGCAGTTTTCATGCCAGTCCTTAAAGATTCACCTCCAGAGGCCTGAGCACGAGTGCTAGGGCAGGGCTGTGCATTGAAATACGACTGAGGTGTCTGTCTTAGGATCCTGTTCAGACCTACTTACAGCCACAGGGTGACAGCAGAGCTCCTCCCACACAGTACAGAATTCCAGTGCCTTTGCTGTCACCCGATCTCCCCTCTGGACAATTCTCCCTTTGGTGCCTGGAAGGTGACTTTGGTCAGTGTGGTCCCGGCATGAATTACTCACACGCTGCCCTCAGGGGTGCTTCCACTTTTCCACCGAGAGGAGAAATGTATCAGCTGGTAACCAGCACTGCCAGGCTACTTGGTTTCACAGTCAGTGACACTTAGAAAACTTGGGGTTTTTTTGTTAGCCAGGACATCCATAGAAAAACCCCTTTGGTCCCAGAGAGAGAACTTGCTTCCCTTCTTTCCACCCCTCCTACTCAGATAAAGAGCCACAAGGATAACCACAGCCTTTCAAGGCGGGTAGCAGAGTGGTACAACTTGCAGCTGTAACACAGATTTTCTCTGCTGCCAAAAGCTTTCTGCTGAGAATTATACACTGCAGAAACCAAAAAATACTCCATGCTGTAATGTTTCCCAGCAATAGCATGCCCCAGTCATACTACAAACAAGGTGAAGTACAAATGTTTTATTGCAATGTTTCATTATTTACAGTACCGTTCACTTTGTCCCTGGGTGCTACCAAAGTGCAAGCCATTTTGGACAGGAAAGCTAAACCACGGTAACTCAGCAGCAAAACGTGGCTGTGCCTTATGCTCGTGCTGTCCTGCCTCTTCCCCGGGCCTGAATGCAGAGAAGTTTGCTGCTCTCCCTGGTCACTGGGAACAACCAACCTGGTAAAGTGAAACTTTGGTCACAAAGGATTGTCAGTTGTGGGTCTTTCGAGATGATGCAGGAACAGGAATCTGCAATCTTTCCAGCTGGACCTTACTCGGAATTCAGTGTTTCTGATTGCGTAACGAGATGTGTTTGTGTGCCCGACTGTCAAATTTCTATTTTGATATTTTTATGTAAGTACTGCTTTATTCCCAATTATTTTTGTTCCTGATTCTCTTTGGTTTATGTAAGCTTTTCATCATCTACCTGTTCTGAGGCTATCTATCTACTTTCTTAAAAGAGCCAGTACCTCGAGAACTACCAGAGTTGCTACTGGATACTGATACTGGTTGAGTCTTTACTGCAAATTTTATGATGCACTTCCATTTCATATAAAGATGGTGATTCAACCACCACTGAAGCCTACATTTTCACACACTGTAATCTCAGAGAAGGACAAACTACACCTGTTATTTCAGGAATGATCTCTAAACAGAAAATCACCTTTGGAGAGGAGGGGTATTAACTACAAATTTTATCCAAGACTAAAGAATTCCAGTATTCCAGTGGCTAAACTCAGATCAGGAATCTTTTCAGTTTTCTAACATGTATTACCTCAAGAAAGTACTTCGAAAGACAGTTTTCAAACTGAGTTCCACTGCTGCCAGCAGTCCCTTGGGAGGTGGGCAGTGAACTTCTCTGCATCAGTTATTTTATTGTGCACCAGGGATGTCGTCACCCTCTAAAACTTGAGATGCCTTGTGTTACAAAGCTCTTGTACAATTAGGAAATGTTTAAGACTCCATTCCAGAAAATAAGTTATATTAAATGGCACTCGAGTCCTCCAGGAAACATGTAGCAGGGCTGTTGGGTGAAGTTCAGCAGTAACAATTTCTGCCCTCTCTTCTCCCCATGCCTGGTTTACAGTTCCTGTAATAATGAGTCCCTGCAACAGCTGCCTCAAATGATTCTGAAATTACAGCTTCTCAGAAATGGGATGATTGCAGCTCTTGGCAGGTTTTTTTCCTGTGAGTCACACTTTTATTCCATGTTATCACAGGCTTTTCTGTATCACTATTGATAAAAAGTCACCAAAAGCTTTACAGCTGCAGAAGGTACCATTTTCACAAAGAAAATGTACTGGATTGATTTCTTAACCTACCATACAAAACACAGTGTTTAAAAGCTCTGCAGTGCCTCCTGATTACCATTCCTTTGGAATTTGGAGGAGGTGGCAGAGCTCACATGCAGTCAACCACGTTGCTGGATCCTTGGCCCACGTCCCGGATCTGGCTGCTGAGACAGGAGCACACGGCCACACCTGCCCCTGCCCGGCAGTGTGACACCGAGCCCACGAGCTCCCACCTATGGAACGTGGCAGAGGGAAAAGAGAAAAGTCAGTTCCTGCCCTTTCTGAGCAATCTGAAAGAATTTATTTTCTGTGTAAGAAATTCTTTTACACAGCCTAGCTGTTTACCCTGCACAAAAATGCACCCCAGTTGCTTATTATTTCTCTGTAGATTGTTACTGAATCAACAAGGGAGGCAGAGGAGGCAGGAGGTGCTTAAATATTTACAAAAACAACCTAGTGGCATAGGCAGCAGTCCTACATCAGCAGTCACGGATATTACACAATAATTACCAGGAAACAACAGCTAGACTCCTGCTGCACACTGTTGTGTTTTCATATAGGCAGATGTCACTGTCTTATTAAGGCAAACAAAACATTTAAAATTACCTATTCACTATGGGATCAAATGCTTCCACTGTATTCAGGTACACGTTGCCATTATGACCTCCAACTGCAAAAATCTTTCCCATCAGTGTCGCGATGCCAACACCACCCCTCGGAGTTGTGAGCTCTGCCACGTATTCCCATTTGTTACTGCGTGGGTCAAACCGCTCCACCGAGCTCAGTGGGGAGTTGTCATCAAAGCCACCTGCAAAGAACCATCACATTTATCAGTTTTTAGACACTTCTGGTGCAGGTGATGCCCAGGACTGGCATTATCAGGCTATTCTCAGTGTTCAGGGGGTACTGTCCAGCTCTCTCTTTACCAAAACTTCACAAACTCCTAAAAATTAATCTAGCAGCTCTCCCCCTGTCACTTTACAAGGATCACCCCAGAGTGACAGTTTTCTTCTACTCAGGTTCCAAGGGTTCTAGTTCTATTATTTTTCTCCTTGAATTCATCATACTTACAATGAAATAGCTTCTCATTCGGAATAGAAAAAAATCCCAAGACCAGTAAAAAGATGGTCCTGATCCTAAGTTTAGTTTAGTTTATGCAAAACACACTCTTGCAGAGTTCTCAAGTTACAGCACTGACGAATACTTCAGCAGGAAACAAAAACTCCTCACGTGAGACTTTAGCGTTGCTTTCCCCTTGCTAGGGCAGCTCTCAGAGGAGCATTCTGCTTGATCCTTTGTAAGCATTTATGGTAATACACAAGGCAGAGCACTTCAGCTATCACTATGGCACACCTACCTGGCATCTTCCTCCCTCAGGAAAGCAGGTAAAAGGTAGCGCACAGGACAACAGGCTGTGGAACAAGCGCGAGAAAGCTACTGTTGTCTACACTCAGAACACAACTAGAAAGCTTTGAAAGTGTGTGAACTTAAAAATAATTTTTTAAAAGGAAACCTAAGATTAGTGAGTCTGAGAGGGTTTTCTAATACAGACACATTGTCCTGAACAGTTTAACCCTCCTGAAACATGGGTTAGGAACTGCTTTTTCGTTTCCTAGCTAACATACCTTCATTTAAGCGTGTCCTGGTTGTGCTTGCTCTCTTCTCCTGCCCAAGAACACCAAGTACAAGTCAGGTCTATCTGTTCCCCAGTTTCTCTAGCAACAACAGCTACTTCCACAAGCCAGTACCTGGCAGCACCAGCACTACAAAACGCCACATCCCCACTCACCGACAACATACAAGCAGCCATGGAGTTCGCTGACACCATTCCCAGCTCTTCGCTGACCCATTTCTTTCACTTCTATCCATTTATCCAAATGGGGATCGTATTTCTCCACACTGGAAAGAGATGCTACACCGTCATTGCCCCCCACGGCATAAACGTGGTTCTGGAAAATAGTTGTATATGGAAAGATTATTAGGAATGTAGTTGTCTTTACAACAGTGTTAAAATTATAGGAAAACCTGGTATATCCACACAGTCCTTATTATTTACTTTAAGAATTCCAACAAAAGACTTAATTATCCCACATAAATGCCATCTTCCAATTAAAAAAGATAAAAAGTTATGTAGTGTTGCAGCAATTTTGCAGAGCATAACATGCCAACAGAGGGTTTGAAGTGCAGGTGCAATTGGCACCTTTAAACATGGTGACCATGCCAAAACAGACTTTTGAGTAAGACATGAAGCACTAGCCATGTGGTTAGAAAGGTTCTAAGCACTTGCTTCCAGTACCTCAAATTCTGTTGAAACAGTTCAGTTTGATATCCTAAATATCCTCACTTTTTGCATAGTTCCATAGGATTTTGATGACCAGAGGTGCTCAGACCCACCAGCTGCATTTTAGTTTAAGATCTTGTGTTCTGCCTTGCAGAAGCAGATTTGAAAAGCAGGTCAGTTCCTCAGTTGGCCCTGACTCGGGAGTAAACAGCCACTTACCACTAGGGCCACGGAGCCAACTCCTCCCCGGGGAGTGTTCATGGGGGCGACTGTGCTCCACCGATCGGAGTCGATGTCGTACCTCTCCACGTCGCTGAAGCAGGTGTTGTCATCCAGACCTCCTATCGCGTAAATGGGGCCGCCAAGGGAGGCCAGAGCAATTCCTCTCCTAGGAAAGCGACAGGATCAACACCTCAGCGCCAATCCTCGAGGAAAGGGAATGACACATCAAGTGCAATGTTAACATGACTGGCACCTCTTTCAGCTATGGGGGGAAAAAAGCAACGAAAACTTAAAAAGTGAAGTTTATAGTAAATAATGTAGCTGGTCCTCTGCACACCTGTGCCAGAGGGACATGGAATACTGTTTTGACTGAATGTCACCTAAGGCCCAAGTTCTCTACTCACATGCTCAGATATCTGGGACTGTCTTAGATATTTAATGTCTCTGTCTGGGTACTGAATTTCATGCCTCCTATTTTGTTTTGTGGAATCTGATGAAGAACCAAAACCTGCTGGTTTTGACTTTGTTGGTATAGCTGGCTTCTACAATTTGGGAATGATTGAAGGGGGATATTAGAACATACTAAAAGGCAAACCTATGCTGGATATTAGATGACTGAACTCTAGCACGATGTAATCGCAATTTCTTCCGTTCTGATTTTTAAATTAAGTGTTAAAACAGTTGTCAGATTTGTTTCTACTAAATTTACCAATATGAGAGTACCATCAGTAGTACAAAATTAAAAAGTATTGTCCAGTGTCTGCTTTAACTACAAAGAGAGACGATTTACCATGTCACTGAGAACATTCTCGTCTCATTACACAGAGGGCAGGTGGGCAGGAGCAAGGGAGGCACAATCTTTGGATAGAACAAACATTGTGGCAATATCCTGGGCTTATCTTAAATTGCCTCAGCAGATAACAGACATCATTAATGATGGCAGTTGTCTTCTATTTTGATTAGGTCACAGCTACAAATAGCTTTAGGACTTAGCTGTGCTCAGTATGCTCCTACTTGTACAGGATGCTTTTAGAAACAACAAACAAAATGGAATGTAGAATTAAGGATGCTGGTTTAAATAACAGCAGAAACAAAAAAATTTACAGATCTGCGAGTCCAGTAACATCTTAAAAGAATCTTGAATATCAAAAGGCAAGAAAAATCCTCAAGTGGACTTTCAGTGTTTTAGTGCTTCCGGTCTTTTGAGGCAAAAACATAGGCAGCCACTTGTTTGCTGGGCAGTAAGTATTTCACTTTTCATGTTATGCTGGCAGTTATCTTGTTCATTCTTAAAAAGAGCAAAAAAATCCACCAAACCAGTTCATCAGTTTCAAGTTGTTTATGAAGCATAGCAGAAAGGCCCTTGATACCAGAACATAAGCATAGCTGGAGCAGAAACTGGAGCAGCAAGCCCCTCCAAAAAAAGAAAAAAAAAAAAGGATAATATCTGTATAGCACAAAGCTCCAAAACAGGGAGAAAAATGCCTAAAAATAGCAGTTTGAAAACCCGAATAAAGGCAGGACAGACATGATGTTTTTCAGCATCAGGAAGAAATGATGTATCACAGACTAGGACTTAAATTTTGGATCATGAGACAAATATACCTCTTTGTGTTCATTGATGCCTTCATCATCCACTTGTTTGTGAGAGGATCAAATACTTCCATGCTTCCTAAGTGTTCATTTCCATCATGTCCACCTACCGCGTAGACTTTACCTGAACACAAACACATCTTTTGATATAGAGAGTGCTTGGCAACATTTCAGTTTTCATTTATACAATATCCCTGTCTATGTGGAGATATTGAGCTCAAATAACAGGTAAAGTTTCTATATGTTTTCAGTATCAGAATTTAAGTGAGTATGGGCTTTATATATTTATGTGCTGTACTCAACCAGCAATCTGTTCTAATGAGGGCTGGCTGACTGCTGTGTAAGGCCATTTTTTATAAGTGGATTTATAAAAAATAAACCCCATATTTAGGGCAAGAGGCTATATGCAGTTCATAGACTCAGAGAATCATTTGGTTAGAAGGAACCTTTCAAGGTCATTTAGTCCAGGGCATTTTCAACTAGATCAGAGTTGCTCAGAAGCCTACCCAGCCTGACACTGAATGCTTCCAGAGATGGGCATTTACCACCTCTCTGGGCAACCTGGTTCTAGTGTTTCCCCACCCTCACTGTAAAAAATTCCTTCTTCATATCTACTCTGAATCTACCCTCTTTTAATTTAAAACCATTACCCCTTTTCCTATTGCAACAGGCCCTACTATGAAGTCTGTCCCCATCTTTCTTGTAAGCTCTCTTTAAGTACTGAAAGGGCACACAATAAGGTCTTCATGGACCCTTCTCTTCTCAAGGCTGAGCAGCCCCAACTCTGTCAACTCATAGTAGTGTCTTTTCAGTAAGTATGGCCTCAGACCGGTTCAGAACCAAACACTCCTTCAGGAGATAAGCTTTACTGAAGAGAAGAATATTCAACACTTAAGCAAGTAAAGTAGTTTACTACCTGTACAACTAGTAAAAGTAACAATTGCAGCCAAAGGAGCAAAAACAAGTGCCTTCTGAATGGGGTTGCTTGAATAGGGTTACTGACCTCCCACAGAGATCACACCCACGTGCCTCCTCCTGCTGTTCATTTCAGGGCCGAAGAACCAATTGTTCTTACTGATAGAGTAACACTCAATGCTGCGAAATGGGTCACCTGATCCACCTCTGCCCCCGACACAGAACAGCACACCTGAAGAAGACAAAGCAGGTTTCCAGAGAAATAGCAGGAAGTTGGGGGGAAAAAATTGTATAGCAGAGCGAATTGAAAATTATGTAGTTTGGGAGAAGTTGCATTTCACTTCAAGGGCACAGTCACTGCCCTGCATAAATAACTGCACACTGGATTTTGGTCTTTGCTTGGCATGCTGCTATGGCAATTGGCTATCTATGCTCTTGCAAACACAATGCATATTTTAAATAGGCTTTACTGTGATTTCGCTTAAGGATATAAATACACTATTAAATATAACAACATAAAATTTAGGATTTGCAGTCTATCATTCATCACTCACTTTTGGTGTAGGTTAGTCAAAGACTTTTAAGAGTTAGCTCAGCCTTCTTACACCAAAAGATAACTGTCCACTTCTTTTGGTATAGCTTTGAACAGATTGCCTGATCATAAAATACTTAATAGCTTTAGCTTTAATAGAGGTAGAGCCAATCAAGATATATAAATAACGCTTTAAAGAAAGAAAATGACTGTTAAAATTCTGCTAGGAAAATGCAGCACATCATCTAAACACCAGAATGGCACATAATGTCTTTCCCAATTTTGCATTAAGTCATTAACAATCCTGGATACCAAGCTATGCCTGCTTGATACCAATATACCTCCACAGATGTGCTGCCTTTCCTCCACACCACTCCCTACCAGATAACCAGACACACATTTAATTACCAGCAGTCTGCTTCCTTGGTGTTGTGCGAATGGAGTACTCAAAGTCAGGCACTGCCCTGCTGCTCAGGTGAAGGTGGTAGTTTCTCGCTTCATCCAGCAAATCCCTACATTTTAGATTCTGCTTGACAATCTCTTCCTTTGCCACAACGCCCATAAGGAAACAAATGGGCAAGAGAGGCAGCCGTACCTGACAGGAATGAACACAGTTGGAGAAACTGGCTGAACTGGCTGAGTCTCACCAGTCACAGTGATGCACATTAACAGATGGCAGCTCCTGGGCCAGCTGGCAGCCCCATGCTCCTCACTGAAAGGAGCGGCTTTCATGGGTTTTTTCCCCAGATAACAGCAATATGAACTTCTTTCGAGTGACAAAGGTTTGCACTTAAGCGACAGTGGCAAACTGTCCCTTGGCCCAGGCTGTGTGGGAGAAGAAGTGCAGCTGCCTGTGCTGCAGCTGAACCTGCCAGGCGTGATGCAGGCAGCACCTGTGACTTCACCAGGGTGGCCTGTGTCAGGTCAGTCTGCTGAGGGTATTAATTTTCAGGTCACTGCTACGACAGCGTAAGGAAGGCTTATGCCAGAATGGTTCATTTTCTTTGGGGTGGCAAGTCAAAAAGGAAACGCTCAGCATGAACTAAGTGCCTATGAAGGACATATTGCTAGTGCAGTAACACCTTTCTTTGATGCAGACTTGATAGACTTCAAGATTTAAAAAAAAAAATGTTGAGAGCCAATTGTTCCCTTCTCTAAATCCTTTCTGTCATTTATTTCAGCAAACATTTCATTTTCCCTTGTGAGAGAAACAGTGAAGAATATGAAGTACAATCAGGGGCACAGGCGGGGTATGGGTTAGTGGGGGGAACTGCGGTAAACCTCCCCTGATTTTCTAAGGTTTGGAGTCAATGCCACCAAGCAGCTCTGAGATAGCTCAATGGTGAAGTCCAGTATCTCCAAGGCTTCTCAGAGCAGCGGGCTGGTGCTGTTACATTGCTGACAAGTGTCCCTGTCTCCAAATAAGCATGTGTCTCTACCAGTTCTTCCTTACCTACTTGCTTTCAGCCTCACTTCTTCCTTTACTTTGGCCCAGCTTATTTTAGGCTGCTTTAAAGCACCACCGTAGCCCTGCTGACAGGCTCCTGAGGTTAGTGATGTGGTAAGAACTCCAGGCTGACAGACTCAGAACCTGATTGTAACAGCAAAACCCATAAGGCTGATTATGATGTGGATAAAAACTGCTGATAAGCCCAGTCATGTTTTCTGCTAGCAATAATGTCCAAGTCAGCTGATGATTCCATATACTCTGGCAAGTAACCCATATGTACAGAAAGGGGTGTACTTTTTCATTGCTTCAGTACAGAATCTGGTTTCAATATTGGCACATATATAGATAGATAGATACTCTGGTATCGATAGAATGAAGTTGCTAATCTCATGTGATAGCACAATTGGGCAATAAAACTCTTTTTTTTTAATTACGTTAATTTAATTATAATGTACTAAAGAAGGGCTTTTTGTACCAAAAACCTCATGCTAGTCTAGATGAAACTGAAGGTTTTAGGACAAAAGTAAATAAACCATCTATTACTAAGAAATGTGAAAAACGACACATAAAGACACTGACAGCAGCATCTTAGTGGATCTCTCCTCACTCACAAAACACCAGTATTAGCAACTGAGCTAAATGCAAAATATTCAAGTTGGATTTCAGTGACAACTGAAACTGCACAGCTGACCCTACCTGCTAAGACACAGGTAACCCCTAAAAATGGGGCATTTTGCAGCGCATGGCATGCACCCCAATCCTCCCCAGCACAGGTTCCCCATACCTGCCTCAAATATTGTATTTTAAACTCCCATAACCAGCACATGTGGAGCTTGGATAACTGAAGTACCTAATGCTTTGACAGGAGGAGGTCTGATGGGTGTCCAAGTAAGCTCAGCTGAATGACCTTTTCATACCTGTACATGTTTCTTTCAGAAGCAGTGAACTTGCATCAAGTCTGGACAATTGAACTGCAAACTCCTTTTAACTCCTACAGATAACCAGCAATGCTAGTCTAGCAAGCATTAAAAAGGCTATCATGTTTCCTGGCCTACTTGTAGGGCTGACACATCTTAGCCTTTTGTTAATTAAACACATGAAATATTTTAGAAACGTGACTTGATGTGACGCACCTCTGCTAGAGTTTTACTTTTCTAGCCATGTAAAAAAGAGATCTAACCTGCTTCCATTGTCAGCTCAGAACTGTGCAACACCAGACGAGGCCTCAACAGCTGAGAACATTTTTCATCTTAAGATCTACCCAAGTGCAAACAGTTGACTATACAACTAAACCAGTGATGAGACAGGCACATGGTGCCTCAGTCTGCCCTACCTGTGCAAGTATTTCATCCAGCCACATGGCATGATGCTGTGGGTTGGCCGTCAGCCACTTGATAGCAGCGTTGTAAACTTGCTTTTCATTTTCAATATTCAGGTCACTGGAGGACAGGAGTTTATGGAGGTGCTGCGGTGACACGCTCACGAAGTCCTCGCACTCCATGACCTCTGCGAAATGCTCGCAAGCGAACTGATCGGCCATGTCCATCAAGTCAATGCGGTTGTGGCTCTCGGCAAACGCCCTGACTGCCAGGCAGTTGGAGGGGTGGAAGTGCAGCTTCATGTATTCACAGCAGGCCTTTGCCACCAGTTCCACCTGCAGAATGCAGGCAGCGTACAGGAGGGGCTGGACGTTGTCCACCGTCAGCGTGAGCCGCGAGGAGTACGCGAACTTCACCAGGTCCTCTATCGCGTCGCCGTCGAAGTCCCTGATCTCGATCAACTTCTGCTTGGCCTCAGCCATTTCCGAAAGAAACATGGCTCTGAAGTAAGGGATGACACAAGCTAGAACCAGCTTGTGGCAGGAGATAAGCTTTGAACCAACCTGAAGGAAAAAACAAACAAACAAACAAACAAACAAAACCCACCCATTTTACTTTAATGTCAGTTTTGGCTGTTAAAAAGATTAACAGTAAAGCTAAAATAAAAATTCTAGACTCGATGTGCATTAAGCTACTGTATTTTGTTCAAACAAATTAACTCTATTTGCCCTGTACTTCTGGCATTACATCCAGGCAGATCCAAGTTGTTACTTGGCCACCAGAGTAGAGCAAAGCCATAAAACAAGGAAACAACAGCACTGATGCACTGAACTTGCCTTTCTTTAAAAGCCACATGAGGCATCCTTAAGAATGTTCTAGATGCATCTTGGAGACAGAAGGAGGCTGCTAGGCACTTCTTTTATGTGTACTCAGAGACTTTAAGGGGGGGGGAATTGTAAAGTGACATTTTTGGACTAGTTAATTTGAACTTCTGGACTTTTACTACTGTCAAGGAATTGATAATCATGTTTACGTAATTTATTACAGGGATTATTAAAAATTACCAATCATTTCAAGATTTTTAGAATCTCTTAGCCACAAAAGGTAGTGTATCCCCATAAAGACAAGGTATATTTCAAAACTCTGATCAGAAAGCACAAAATAAGTTTTTCAGCTACTAAATTATAGAATTCAATTACATTTAAAAAGAATGTAAATACTGAAGGTAAATGAACAATCCACTATTTGTGTTACAGGAGTATCTTCTTACAGCCTTTGTCATTCTGCACTCCTCACTACCATAAAGGTATGGCTGAGTTAAGCAACCATTTTCCCTGATGGAGTAAAACGGCACGTTCATTTTTAGATGGTATTACAGTGACCTGTCTTGCAATCTAAAAAAAAAAAAAAAAGATACTAAATTATAAAAGATAATTTGGATTTTTTTCTAGCTCTGATTCAATACACAATTGCTCTACCCTTTTAAAAAGTGTGCGTGATCAACACAAGTGTAACCTACCTGGTAAGCAGTGAGTTGAGTACAGAAAGCACACACATGTGAAAGAGTATGCAGGTTAAAAATGAGGCAAAGATGGATGGCTCAGTGTGATCAAACTAGATCACCCCAGAAGGAACAGTTCAGACCTACCAAATGAACAAAAAGCAAACCAACAGGAGGAGAAAAGCAGATGGTATCATCTGACACACGCCTTCTACCAGCCCTCTAACACTGTTCATATGACAGCAGCAGTACAGTGAAATTCCAGGATTGAGCTCGTAGGAGCTGAGGAAGTCTCCCTGTGTGCTCCCACGGCTTATCACTGTTACAGCATCACTCCAACTAATTACAGTACTGATGTAAAAAGATCCCACCAGCTGGTCTGCTGTACCAGGGAAAGCTCCCAAGCTATTCTCACCTTCAGAAATTTTTATTCTGCGCATCTTCCCACTCTCTAATTAAACCTTTCTTTTGAATTAAATGGCTTTATTATGTTCCTCAAATCTCTTTAATATTAAATATCTAGCATATTCTTGGTATTTTGAAATATGAGTTCCCCTTCAGTTATTAACTATCATATTTTAAGAGCCAGCAATTGGTCTGACAACAACGCCAGAATTGCTCACTATCATAGGTCACACACAAAAGCAGAAAGTTCAGTAGAGATGTAATTATTCTTAAAATATGAGAAATGCCTGAGAGCTACAAAAAGAAAAATCAAGCCCTCCAGAAAATTCCAATTCAAGATAACAGTTACCAGTTACTTGAAGGTTTAGGAAGCTGTACAGTGAGATGTACATGGGTTGCTTTAGCCTTCACTGGAAGAAGAGTCATGCAATATAATATTCTTAAATTACCAAATGAGCTCCACACAGATAATACAAATGAGCATTAAAACAAGCCTAACTTGAGGAAAGTTAAACTGCAGTCACAGCAAAGTGTATTTTCCAAGCCAAGTTTCCCCAGCAGGAGTACACATTTAACTATGCTTATAAAGCAAGACTTTCTGGGATTTTTTGCAAGGGTAGGTGGAAAGGAAGGCAGGTGAAGATGAAGTCAAAAAGGGATGAGAAGGGTTTTTAAGAGTTCTGATGTGGACCTTCTTCCCCAAAATGCCTTTTAAAATGGCTGATGTAAAGAGACCTGATGACAAGTGCTCAGCCCAATTGCTTCACGGCTCTTGAGCTACCCCGAGCAGCTTCAGCATTGTAATTCAGTGTCCTGTGCACAGTAAATCAACTGTTATGAGCCACTGGACCTACTGCATTGAGTGCCTGCTCAGTGCCTGGTGACAGGCAATTTAGTATCTGCTGTGAAGCAGAGCAGAAAAATGTTCTTGCTTATGCTACTCCTGTTGTTGAGCAGGACAGAACGGAGAAAAACCTCTTCCTCTCAGAGATTTTCAGTGTTTTCCAAGCATTTCAGAAAGATGAGATGTCTACTGGGGAGGAGCTTACAAAGGACACAGATCTGTCAAGGATTTTCCCAGTCCATATCTAATAGTCAAAGTGACAGGCAAACAATTGCTCCTAAAGGTATCTATCATTTGTTCTTGGTTTAGGAACTATGCTCCATCTCTTTTTCTCAAATCTTGCACTAGTAAGATGTCTAGCTAAGCAATACCTAGTATTTGTAGGTGCTGGCACCCACTGTTATGGATGCTAGATATTTAAATTTATTGGGATCAGGATATAAGTAACATACAGATGAGTTACAAATAATGCATTGAAGTAATCCTATGCAAGAATCATAAAACTTGCTTCCTTCTCCTCCTCCTCCTTTACTCTTTGATCAGCTGCAGAACATAACTGTCTGGGGCTTTTTTGTTTTTTCTTTCTTTGAGAATGCTGGAAGTCAGATTTGTTCCAGAAATCCTGTCTGCTGGGAAGGATGTAGCAAAACAATACAGAGTGCAAAAATAAGAGGTGGAATTGGAGATGAAAGTGTGTTGAGAACAAAGAGGCTACAAGGAGCTGAAATTGCACAGTAATACACTGACAAACTGTGGGACCTTGCTTAGAAGGCAAGCTGGATGAGGTCAAAGTCATGTACTTCACCTTAAATGTTTAAATTTCAGTTGTAAACCTCCTAAATAAGAAAAAAAAATCAGCATATCTAGAGATGCCTCACATCCAACAAGCGTTCTGTGTCTTCCATATCCCTGCCCAAACTCACAGCCACCTCCAGCACATTTATTTGTAGCTTTATCTTCAGACTGTTAAATGCAATGGATGTGTGACAAGTATCACCTTCAGTGTAACATCGCAGAGCTCTCCAGCTTCAAAGAAGTGAAGAAGAGAGCTGTGAAAATCCTTCCAAGCCTCATTTGCCTCAAATACAAAGACGTCATCTTCACCATCACTGTTGGAAGGCCTGGTTTGCTGCTGCTGCTGCCGCCTTTTTCCCTTTATCAGATGTTGTTTTGCCTGCTCAGGGACCATGGATTCTGAAGCCATTGGCTGTTTTTTCTCTCACTGCATGAATCTTCAAAAACTCCTGCCAAGACAAAATCCAGCCCATCAGAAGTTAAGTTCTAAAACGCAGTTCTGTCGTCCTTCCTGTTAAAAAACAAACAAACAAACAAAAAAGAAATGAGGCCTTAGGTGATGCTAGTACATTAATGCTTTGATTACATGTTATAAATACTACCTATGATCTTACTTCAGGAAGGTGAGAGGAGCAGGGGCAAAAAAACCCAACCCACAGCCAAGAGTTCTATGTAGGTACCTCTAGGTAAAGCCATTGTTTGTGAACTTGTTGCCCACACTCCTTGAAAGAGACACGAAAAAGGCAAAGATGTATCACAGAATCATAGTTTGTGTTGGAAAGGACCTTAAAAATCATCCAGTTCCAACTCCCTGCCATGGGCAGGGACACCTCCTACTGGACCAGGTAGCTCAAAGCTCCATCCAACCTGCCTCTGAACACTTCCAGGGATGGGGCATCCACAGCTTCTCTAGGCAACATGTTCCAGTGCCTCACTACCCTCACAGTAAAGAATTTCTTCCTAACATCTAATCTAAATCTCTCCTTTTTAAAAAAAAAAAAAAAAAAAATCCCCCTTTGTCCTATGACTAACTGCCCATGTAAAATGTCACTCTCTCTCTTTTTCATAACTTCCCTTTAAATACTGGAAGGTACTCAAGAGTATATGGAGTGGCAGGTTCGTCTCTTACACTGGATAGATTTGGGTTTCATGTTTTTTTAATTAATTTATGATGCACTCATTCTTCATTCTATGCTGAGAGTTGATGACTGCTGCAGTTCAGTGATTTCTGCTCATGGACTCAGGTGTTGCAGGAAGTGGACTGACGAAAGGAACAAAAAATTCTTCTACAATAAAAATTTAAATCACACGCCTGGGAGCAGAACTGATTTTCCTCTGGGCTATTGTGAAAGTGTCCATGTCTTTTACTAAATTTACAGCTCTTCATGCATCAGTACCAGAGAAAAAGCAGGAAGTGACCTGAGGCGACCGGCACTCATTTCTGCTGTGGGTCACAGGGTTGTTGCCAGCTCCATGTCCTGAGTGGTGACAGGACTGGTGGCTGCATTGGGCCCGGCAGGTTAAAGCAAGTGAACATGCCTGGAGTGGTGCTTTAAGCAAGGTAAGTATTACCTTTAAAAGGTATCTAAGGGAAAGATCTTACTTCTAAAACCCCAAACCAGATATTACGGACCATGGGATACTTATATAGTTTACAGCAATAAATACTTTTTTCTGCTGAAAACTTAGCTTCCATTATACCAGATTTGGCAAATTGCTATACTAAGACATTTTCCTAGTCTGTTAGGCTATTTTGATCCTCAAAGTAATCCTCCACTACTGGTACTCACCACCTTTGCTTTGTTCAACCTGCTCTTCAAATGAAGCTTCAAGCACAACCTCCTGAAGTTATAAAAATTAACACGGACAAACGAGAGGAAAAAAACAGAGAAGCTGAAATGCTGTACAAGGGTGTTGAAGAGCATCATGTGTCATTCCTTCATCTCTAGCCTACACTTCTAAGGAACTCATGCTTATTTTGGTCTTTGACTGACACTCTCACTTCACCACACCTAACAATTTTTACAGTGAGTAGAAGTGCTGCTTTCAACTGCCACTGACTCCTAAATGATAGTTCACAGCTCCCAAGTCATAAGGTTTTTCCATCTGACACATATGCTACATTTATCCTCATGCTTTAACTGCAACTGCACATATACTTTCCCCAGTTATTCTGTGTCTCATTTAAAAAAAAGGCTGATGGCTACATTTTACCTACTCTGGGTATGCCACTGTAAACACCATCATCAAACCCGTGAGTCTTCAGATAAATCAGTGCTGTTGGGGTCAATTTTTTTATGCTATAAATTAACTAAGCAGTAACACATCAGCCAAACACAACTGATTTTAAGCAAGGTTTTTCATCCAAATCTGATGCTTATAGCAATTAAAGCTCTTGGAGATGCTCTGGTCTGTAAGAAAAGAAGTTGAGTGCATATTTGGATTTATATATTTGATACATACTAAGTATACACTTGATACTGTAGGGGAAGAAACTAGAAATCACATCAGAGGAAACCAATGCCATTACTCAGGCACACAGCCATAGATCACATGGATGAGGGAGCCCCCAGGATTGCAATATCAAACATGTGGATGGGAATATGAGAGCAAGTCAATTACTGCTCCTCAGGTAAAAAGAGGTTTCTGCAACAAAATTATTGAAAATAATATAACCTTAGGGAATTATTTAGATAGCAGTAGTCTGACATACTTTAGTTTTCTTTTGATGAGACTTTGTGACAGATAACAATATTTAAGATAAGATTTTTATTCTTCCCCCAAGTCACCAATTTAGAAGCATCTTGTTTCTGTGACACATCTCAGTCATGCAAATCTTTTTAGATATGTATCTCCAAATCCTCCACTGGTCTTAATTACAGCACCTCACAGTCTGAGTCTTCAAACAAATCAGCATCTGCTATGGAAAGTACCAGCTGTAGTCATGTTTCATTTGCAGAAAATACTGGCTTAGGCTCATCTGAATGTTTAGCTGTAGGCATTTGCTGTTCTCAGATTTTAAACGAAAAAGAAATAAATTTTTGTAGCACTTGAATCAAGATACTAAACTCTAGAAATCTGAAGGTCACTCTGAAGTCAAGGAGGTCAGTGTATTTCAACTCCACAAACAAAGAGAGAAGAGCCATTTACAGATCTGCTCCCCAAATCATCAGTAATTCAACAATAACATCCAGCTACTTGAGGTTAGTTTAGAACTGGTTGAATGGCACACATACAGAGTCTTTACTTGCTAGAACAAAACACTGCCATGTGTTTTAGAACTTCAGTAACTGCTCCCTTTGTCATGTTGGGAATTAAGTCTTCCAGCCTCAGTACAGTCTAGTATTTTGACAACATTAAGTGTGTAAGTGACCATCACAGGAAGCGACTGACTAAGTAAAGGAAGTGCCTCATTCATAACATCATCTGTTATTCCTTGTAAACAGCTGCTTGACACTTTCCATGAAGGAGCAACTGTCTGATTAAAAAAAACAAACCACACATGTTTACAGCTCACCATTGTTTGCTGAGAGCAAGTCAGCAATTTTCAAGTTAAATATTTAGAAATATTGATGATGTCTGCTGTTCTCAAGAGTGCAGCTGTTCCAGACCCCAAAGTTCACATTCTGGTTGTCAATGCTGGTCTCCAGGCAAGGGACTGAGGATCCCCTCTTCCCTATTCCTCAAATTTATAAAAGCAAGTAGGGAGAGCGCATCAGAGCACAAGCACATTATCTTATAACTGCTACAATTCGGATAACAGTAACATCCTAAAGTGAAGTGATTTTGATTCAGACATTCTAGTTCAATCTTAAACTGGATCAAGTGCAAAATTACTCGTCACGTAAAGTGCTTATGTTCAAGAGAGGTATACTAACTCAATTTTGAAGTAAAAAGAAATTGTAGGCATTGGACAATGGAAGGACATGAATAGCATTGCTCTGTTCTCCCCTATCATGAAATTAAAACCCCAGGAATCCTGCCCAACAAGCCAACCCAGATGTTGGAGTACATGGCCTCCTTCCCCTGACAGGTACCTTGGGAGACGGTGCCACAGAAAAAAAGGATCATCCTTATCCTTTCTCTTGACACATGGAAGCAAGACACTTCAGTGATAAAAAATAAACAAAAAACCAAGACTCCCACTGTAACCAAAACTAGGCAGCATTCAGATGAGAGGAATTATGATACCTGTAAATCCAATGCACTTTATAATCAGTGGTACCGAAGCTTGAAAAAAAAGGGTGCAGAGTCAAGGAGAAATCAAGACACAGATGAAATTTCACCAACTACCCTTTATGTAATTTTGGTTACCCACCCACAAGGCGAACTAAAATCACACCCAAATCTGCAGGGCAATCGGCTTCACTCAGAAAACAATAAGGCCTTTTAACTGAAGAACTCAAGAAATTTGCCTTTTGCAAATGCAAAGTTTGTAGCTCCACGAGCAGGGGGGTGACTCAAGTACAAACAGACTGCATGCATGTAAACATACACAAGTTTGTACGTGTGGCTGGGCAAAGCTACCTTGTCTGATAAGGAGCCTGGTGAGTGTGTGTGGGTAACGAACCACTGGCGCTGCTGACCACAAGGTTAGATAAGCACAGGCAGGGGACAAGATCTTCTCCAGTTTGATCCAGCCAACAGAACAAGTCGAGCTGTTGTCTTGTGCTGTTCTAAGAAAACTCGAACATTTGGAAAACGGGCAGCTGGCAGAGCTAAGGAAGAGACAGAGGGAGAGGAGTGGGAAGGGCAGGAGGCAGCTGCAGTGCAAACTGCAGACAAGCAGCAGCTCTGGCAGGGACTGCATAAGCAGCTGTTCACTGTTCAGTCTGGTTACAGATGTATCATCAAGAAGGAACATGAGGGGAAAAAGGATAGACAAAAAACTACAGAAAATCCTCAGTGCTCTCCCCTTCTCCACTGACCAATTCCATCAAAGATGATGTATAAACTTTATGCAAAACTGTTCAGATGCCCATGCTAATTAGGTCAAATCAGACCTAGATCAGAAGATTTGATGGTTTTCCCAAACATAGGAAAGTTCAAGTCACATACTGTATCACAAACCTAAGACCACTGTACTTTTCAGCAGTTAAAGTTATTTAACAGAAAGAAGAAAAAAAAAAAGTCAGAAACCACATATCTAACTGGTTTAGCTTGTTTAAAACCATTAGGGTTCCTTTGGTAGAAATTCATAAAAAAAGCTTCTTAGACAACATAAATATACAATCTCTAAACTCTTTCAGCATTTCAAAGGTTCTTTGTAGCAAAACCTGACATTATCGTTTTGTGTTGTCACACAGGTAGTTCAGCAAACACTGAAATGGGCACAGCTGGCACCATCTTTCATCTGCTTCTATAACCAAAACCCCACCAGTGCAGTAAACACACAGTGAACTAGGACTGCTCCTTCTCGGAAAAACGCAACAGAAGAGATGCTTTGTAGAGCATGAAAAGCACAGTCAGATAAAATCTTATTTTGGAAATAATTCTGCTGGCAGTCCCTTAAGGCTGTTTTGAGACAGCGTCTTCCCTGCTCCCTTCGAATGAATGCTCCAGGAAGTTCTACTGAGGTTAAATCCCAGTTTCCATCAAACATCAGAAAGGCCATCTGTCTTCTGGGATTTATGGAGTGACAGGCTGACAATTTTGTTCAATTTTCCATTATGAAAAACAACCAACCAACCTGATATGGCGTGATTTATTTATGCTTGATTTACTTTTGCTTCAGAACAACCAGCAAAATCCCTCAGAAGCCACAAAACAGCAAAGGACTCTGCTTTGCAGTACAGGCGTAACTAGGACGTGGTTTATTTATGCAACGTAACCTTGGGAATACCCAAAAAGTAGAACACAAAAGAAAAAAACATTAAAAATCAGCGCAATGGGAGCAGAGTGAAGTGTTGATGGATATATTAAGAAATTTAACTAGCATATTTCATTCATAAAACACAAAACAGACCCTTACCAAGAGGAGGCACTATTGTCTTCTCTAATGGACCTGATTAAAAACAACAATAGTTTAATGGTAAACAGCAGTGTTTAGTCCAGCCATTCCTGGTAAGTATTAACAGAGGGTAAAATTATTTCTAAGTCATTTGCCAGCTGCCCTTTATCATGGGCATGTAAATCAAGGCATGGTACCCACCAGAGCCTTCCAGAGGTATAGCCAAACTGTTTCCCATACACCCACCAGCCTCTTCTTCGCAGAACTCTCTGCCTTATACCAACCATCATCATATTCTCTCATCTGGAGCTGAGATTCACTGAGGTTGCAGCCTCATATTACACTCACAAGTCAAACAGCTCAAACCATAAAGCAGCATTACTCTTCCTTTGGTCTCAGAGCTGTAAGGCTCTTCAAAATCTGTTTGAAATCAAGAGGGGGCAGAGGTAATACAAGACAGAAGGCCTCACAACTTAAATTGCTACAACTACTGATGCAGGAAATTATTATTATTATGAAATCTGATCCTTGAAACCTGCTGGGGAAGAACCAAGGCACTGGCTAATGTGGTACTGTGCTGCCCTGCACCAAATTACCGGCAGTCATTACACAATGACCATGTGTCTTCATGTGACCACAGTGATTAAATTTGCTTTTACAGCAAATGGCCAGCTAGAAAACTGGATGCCAGGCTACTGGCACGCTGCTAACAATTTATAAAACAAACGAGGTCGCGAGTACACTGCACAGAAACCCCAGGCACAATCTTGCCGTGTAACAACACAGACACACGTCTCTCATGGCACAAGAGTTCACACAGACATTAAAAGGGAATCAGCGCAAACTGACTCAAAAACCTCAGACCCAGCTGCTTACAGAAGGTGTCTGAACCTTTTGCAGCGTCACCTACATTACAAGCAACCAAAGCCACACGCGAACAGGCCTGTTGTGGTTGTGGTTTAACATTTGATGAGCTGTTTTACCTGCTGTGGCACTTTTCTATAGTCACACATCTGTGATTTGTTTCTCGACTGCACTTCCAGAAGCCTTCGCGACAAACACAGAAAGCCAAGTATCTCTGAGGTTTTTAAGTCTTACAACTGCAGAACATGTAGGAATGACTTCGGCAAAGGAGGTAACACAGACCACAGAATATTCCAAGTTGGAAGGGACCCACAAGGACTGTCGAGTCCGACTTTTAAGTGAATGGCCCCTATGGAGGTCAGACTCACACCCTTGGCATTACTAGCACTGTGCCCTAACCAACTGAGACATCCAGATCATATGAACTAGGAGGCCCTACTAAGTTTGTGAACTACCTGCTTATGAATACTACCTACCATTATGGATAAGAATCCGATTAACTGATACTTCCCAGCAGCCGGTAAGCACATTGCTTGAGTGGAGATGGGAAGGTGAAACCTATCAAAGCAGGAAGGAAACCCAGGCAGGCAATATCAAGAGCTGGAGGAGCTGAGACATCTGAAATTCTCATTTATTTGAGAAGCAAGGAGAGGCTGGTAACTCCTGAGGCTCTCTCCAGTAGCAATAGGCAATTTCTTGTGGTTTTACCACAGAAAATATTTGGTTTGGAGTAAGCTAAGCCACTCTACTCGTTATCCCTTTTAAGATGTCAACAGCGAGCCGGTCAGGGCGCTAAACCCTCGGGCTGTATCCTGGCTCAGTTATTTTTTTAAATAATTTTTGTCTCCTTCTCGAACCGTGTGGCAGCGAGGGCTCTCTCTGAGGGGCTCCACGGCATCGCAACAAGCCCCCTGTCGCCGACCAGAGCCCACCCCGGAGCAGCAGGGCCGCCCCTGCACGGCCGGGGCACACCCCACTCCCGGCAGCGATTCCAGGTTAATCGGAATGGCTCGGGTTTCGTTCCCCGGCGCCGGGAGCGGCCCTCCCGGGAGCGGCCCCGCTCCGTCCCGCCCCGGCGGCGGCGCCCGAGGGGGGAGACCCCCACGGCGGTGCTGCGAGCACGGGGGACAACCGCGGCACCTTCCCGCGGCGGGGCCGCGCCGGGGACACCTGAGGGGAACCCGAGGGCAGGGGGCGCGTTACATAAGGGCAGGGGCGCCGCCATGGAGGAGGGAGCGGTGCGAGGGCGAGAGGGGCGGCGGAGGAAGGGCCCGCAAGGGGAGGTGCAG